CCATGCGTTTGCCAAATTTGTCATTGTAATTACTCCTCTTACCCGCACTTGCCTGTAAAATGCGTCCACTGCACGTGCACCTTCCGTTGCGTATCTTGGAGCATTTGCTCCTTCTCGTTTCGCGTCAAGTAGGCCTCCAGCCACACCAAATCGTAACGAATAGACCAAGTCATTCTCCTCGTTGTTAAATGGTGGCGACAGAATCGGCGATCCAAGGCCTCTGAGTGTTGCCTTTCGACCCAAAATATCGATGCCATGCCTCCATCTGCCCCAAAGGCCCAACGTCTTCTCCGGTTTTGGCCCCAGGCTAGGCCCGTTCCCCTTGCTTGTGTGCCGATCTTTGCCCACTCCAGGCCGCCCAAATAGCCAAAGCCCACCTCACACCACATTCGTCATCGGTTTTGACACACATCGTTCAAATGTCCTCCCATTCGTCTCATTTGTTTTGCCTCTCTGTTGTCTGCCAAGAAAAAAAAGCAATGACGACGACAACTATGACGACCCAAACATGCAGGCGGCCTTTATGCGAGCGCATTGGTTTAAGACCAACGTCGTTCAGCACCCGGCAAACTGACTGACAGCATCTTATTACATTGTTGTGCATACGACGACTTATTGCTATTTACCTGAACCAAGGTGTGCATCTAGACATCGCCTACATATAGACGACAAGTCAAGCTCATTGAAAGGTTGAACGAAAAGGCGGCGTATATCCCCTATCACCATCATGTCTGTCCAGCACCTGAAGCTGTCGTCGCACTCGGGCTTCGAGGCCGATGCCACCGTCACGGGTAATTGCTCCTCGCTGTTTTTGCAGACAGGATTCGTGGGTGACAACGGTTACTAACATGTCTGCAGATGATGGCCGAGTCGACATTGCTATCGACGAAACCGACCCGGGCAAGCTCGCTGCCTTGCTGGTATCCAAGCCCCTGCCAGCCTCGTCCTCGTCCTCGTCAGTCGATGCAGGCGGCACAAGTGACCCGAAACTAGCGCGACTCAACATCGTCATCCAAGTCGTCGGCTCACGTGGTGATGTCCAGCCGTTTGTCGCTCTCGGCCACGTCCTGCGGCGTACCTATGGTCACCGTGTACGTCTAGTGACGCACTCGGTCTTCAAGGAGTTTGTCGAGGCTCCCGAAAGGGATAGAGATGGCGATGGTGGCCGACTCGAGTTCTTTGACATTGGCGGCGGCGACCCGGCCGAACTCATGTCGTTTATGGTGCAGAACGGAAAGACGGGACAGAAAGAGAACGATGATGGAGGCGGAGGTCAAAGCCACGGCGACAAAGGCGACAACGATGACGACAAAGACGGCGGCGGCGGCGGGCTCATCCCTCCCATGGAGTCGTACACCAACGGCGAGATCGCTGGGCGCCGTCGATTTATTGAGGCCGTGTTGCACGGCTGTTGGCGATCGATGGCCGACGACCAGGGCAATGCCAGCGATGGCAAGGTCAACAACAACGGTGGTAACGAGCACGGCACAACGGATGTGCCGTTTGTGGCCGACGCCATCATTGCCAACCCGCCCAGTTTTGCGCACATCCATATTGCCGAGAGTCTCGGTGTGCCGCTGCACATCATGTTCACCATGCCATGGACACCAACACGATCGTTTCCACACCCACTGGCCAACCTCAAGTGCATTTCGTCCGCATCGTCTTTCCCGTCCACAGATGTCTCCTCGTCTGTGTACGGATTTGCCTCGTTTCTCTCCTATACGATTGTCGAATGCCTGACGTGGCAAGGCCTTGGCGACATTATAAACCGCTTCCGCTCACGAAATCTCGGCCTCGAACCTTTGTCGCCGCTCCTGGCAGTGGCGCCATTTCACCAGGGCGGCCTGATGGGCCGGCTACAGGTACCAACGACCTACTGTTGGTCACCGTCTCTGCTGCCGAAGCCACCAGACTGGGGTGCAGAGATTACAGTGGCCGGCTACTTCTTTTCAGCTGCCACGTCTGGCGGAGGATATACACCCCAGCCTGAGCTTGCGGCATTCCTAGCTGCTGGTAAACCGCCCATTTACATTGGCTTCGGCTCGATCGTGGTGGACGACCCGGTCGGTCTGACAAAAACAATTGTCGATGCCGTTGGCCGACTCAAAGGCGCACGGGCCATTGTGTCCAAGGGCTGGGGTGGTCTGGGGGAAGGCGATGCATACAAAGGCAGGTCGAAAGACATTTTTTTCTTGGAGAGTGACTGTCCACACGAGTGGCTGTTCCCGCGAATGGCCTGTGTGGTGCATCATGGTGGCGCCGGAACAACGGCTGCCGGCCTGCGGTTTGGTGTGCCGTCCGTCGTTGTTCCCTTCTTTGGCGACCAGCCGTTCTGGGGCTCGCTGGTGGCTCAAGCTGGCGCAGGACCGGATCCTGTTCCCTTCTCACGGTTGACAGCCGAACGGCTGGCTGCGGCCATTGAACTGGCATTGCGCCCGACGACCAAGACGAAGGCGGCTGCACTGGGCGACAAGATCCGGGACGACAAGGACGGCGGCGGAGCCGTGATTGGCGCCCAGTCGTTCCACAAGCACCTAAGCAGACCCCAGATCCATTGCCAGATTCTGCCCGACCGCTTGGCCGTGTGGCAGTACCGAAACAAGACGAAAAAGACAACCGTGGGCATGAGCGCCTTGGCGGCAGCCATTCTTGTTCACGAAAACAAGCTGGCGTACTCGGATCTAGCGCTGTTCCGCGCACAAGAGTACCATATTCATACGGGTGACCAGCCGTGGGAGCCCATTACGGGTGCCGGGTCAGCCATCCTGGGTGATCTGAGCAGCATTGCCATGGCCGTGGCCGATTTCCCTCAGGAACTGTTTCGCAAGGCGAAGAAGGCAAGCAATGATGGCGGAGACAAGGGGGCTGGGACGACTGACGGCGGGACCACCACTGTGAAAGTGGACACGCCGTCGGCGACCGTCACGCTTGACACGGCCGTGCAAGCCGGCCAGAGCATCGGCCGCATTGTGTCGACAGGCCTGCAAACGCCGCTGCACTTTTGCCTCGGCCTCGCCCGTGGCTTCCACAATGCGCCGCGTCTCTACCACGACGACACGGTCCGGGCGCTGCCGGGAGTCGGCACGGCCGGCGATGATGGTGGAAGAGGCGGCGCCGAGCCGGCGGTAGACGGCCTTGGCGGCGGCATACGCGCGGCCAGCAAGGCTTTTGGCCTTGGTTTGTATGATGGCGTCACGGGCCTCGTGACGCAGCCGCTGCAGGGCGCCGAACAAAGTGGCGGCAAAGGGTTTGTCAAGGGTTTTGCCAAGGGCATTGGTGGTGTCGTGTTCAAGCCGGCTGCAGGCGCATGGTCGGTGCCGGCGTACACGATGCAGGGCGTGCAAGCGGAAGTGCAAAAGCTGACGGGCGGCGTGGGTCTCGGTGTCGGGCCCAGCAAAAAGGAGATGCAGGCACGGCGGATGGCGGCACGCATGCGGCAGAGCGAGGCGGAGTGGCAAGAGGCCAGTGTGGGCGACAATCTCGGTGCCGAATCACAAGCGGTACTGGAGCGGTGGACGAAGGCAGAGGCTGGCGGTGGCGACCGGCTGGACTGATCACGCCCTACGCTACATTCGTTCATGACCGTTTAGGTTACTTTTGAACAATCTTGGCCATCGTTAGGCACGATCCGGCCATGCAGCCGAAGGACGCCGATAGTTTGGACAACTGGCCTACGTTGCCCAGAATTGTTCCCTCCGCGGATCGTTTGCATTTGGCGTGCACTTTATGATATCATTAATCCGGCATGATAGCAGTTCTGCGTTATTTTCGATTTTGCTATTTCAAGTATCGCCTGTCTGTCAAATCTTTTTTATTTAAAATATAACAACATAACAGCGTTTAGTGTCTACATGATGTTGTTTCGCGATATGTTGTTGTTGACCTGGGTTTGGCTTAGATTCCAGAGCCTAGCAGTACGGTGGATCAAACCCAACCGTACGGCTCCCAGAAATACGACTACCCCAAAAGGATCACGGACAATGGAAGCTTGACATTGACGCTCGCCATGCATGTCAGAGGGAGAGGAGTCCACATCAGTGAAAGCGGCTGTCAACCGGTGAGATATTGAATTTTTTTTTTTTAAAAAAAAAATGACGTGGTGCTTCATAAAACGAGTTTAATTTTTTCCAGTAAACAGCACCGTAGTTTATGCCGTAGTTTACGGCACGCGATGTCGACTGACGACTGTGTCTTCTACAGAGCCATTCTGCTCTCTGGTATCCGTCAACCGATCCTATCAAACGTTCCACGCATGGCTTGGCCGGGCCCAACCACCAAAAAATAGCATTTTTCGTGCTCTCATATTCATCATTGGCGCTTACCTCTATGCTCACTGTTCCCGCCTAGTTTTCCGACTACGACCTTTACCTTTTGCTTACGTGTGTTTATAGGGTCTCTGACGAACCGATTACACTGTCCGCCGATGGTGAACAGCACTCTTCGAATGTTGCTCACTCTGTTTTGTCATCCGTGGACTGACAGGCTGACAGTCGATCAACAGCAACTGTCAAACCGTCAAACATGAACGTCGTACGCACCACCGTCTCCTGACCCCGGCGGTCCTGTCTTGGTTTGGCTCCGTTGGTTTGTTTATGTCTTGTTTGACCAAAGGCCTTCTGCAGTGGACAACATGCAAACGATCTGTTCCCGCCCGGCCGGATCGTGTGACGTCGCATCTCCGTGAATCCGTGGATAAGGCAGCCAAATTAAGTTGCAAACAAGAAGAATTCAAAACACTTCATAACGCAATGTTCTGTATGTTGTACGTCGTGTGCGTTGTGTGTCGTAAGCTTCTTTACACACTCCTTAAACGTCGTGTCTGACAAAGAAAAGTGGGGCCGTCGGGGTAAGATCCATGTGGAACGGAGTCGGACCAAAGTCGGGGCAACGACTCGAACGGTGCGAAGATGCCACAGGACCAAATGCGGTTCTTGCCAGCGCCTGACGGCTGCTAAGTCCAGTGGTTATCCACTGACGCAGGGCGCCAAACTCTCTTGATGTCGGCGCAATATTTGACCGCCAAGCCACGGCCCAACCAGACCACGCAAGAGTTGCGCTTTGCTTTGGTCGGTGCCTGCCGTAAGGCCCTTCTCACGCAAATTTCGGCCAAAGTCGACTCAATGCCAGCGCCACGACTAATGAGCCCCGACCATCACGGAATTCTCTCGACTTCCCGTAATTCCTCTGCGCCGCACAACTCGAACCTCGTCCAGGACCGGATCGTCTCCATGCATTCCACTACCACGCGAGTTTCATGAGCATCCGCCTCCGTTTGTTGTTTGTCATCCCCCTTCATTTTGAGGCGATATTTCATGTTCTCGCAAGGTTTGTTCCGTCTGCAAAAATCTCTGCGCAGTGTCGACGTGTCCACAGCCTCGTCATCCTCCGCCTAGATTATCAATTTGCTTTTCGTTCTCGATTGCCTTGTCTCGTTTGTCTCTGGAAACTTCCTATTTTCCGTCGTCTGTGGTCCGTGCGACCTGTCTTGTGTCCGGCTAACATGGCTGTCCACGTAATACACGATCATGAATCATAGCTTACATCTTGCAGAACAAAGGCAGCAATATTTTGCAAGTTGTCATGCACCGTTTTCAAACGGACAACTGTGCTATACTTGATCCCAGTTTGCCGGTTTACGCACTCCCTACACTATGCAGCATTGACCTCTTCATTCTCGCACAGATCGTCATAGGATTTGGTTAGGACCGCCGTATGGCCCTACCGAGACCCCCTTTAAAGTCAAGTCGACATGCTTCTGACCTTGACATATTAAACGTCGCAAAAACAAAAGAAGACAATAGCCAGGCAAGTTATCTACGCCATAACTCAGCTGGATGCAAGGCGTACGTAAGGCACAACTCGGAAGCATCATCTGATGTGCTGGTTGGCGAGCCTTCTACCCTCTTGCTGCAAGTAGAACTGCCGCCAACAATCATGCTGCTCGTTTGGGCAACTCGTTTCGATGCTCACTGACCATGCAGGCTGGAAATATTACCGTATTGGTAGATGCCGCGCTCCGTCAGGCGTCCCGGAATTTTTGGCTGCTGGATGAAGCTGGTGCCAAGGGCCCAATAATTGGTCCGCACTTTGAATTGGACCAACGGAGATCCCGCAGACTTTCCACCTTTTGCGTCGTCTCAAAAGCCAACGAGACACTGGCGCGCTCGCACGGTTCCGTAGGGCGTAGCGCGAGGGTGCTGACGGCGGATATGTGGCATTGGCAGCTGTGGATCCCCCAAACGGGGAGGAAATGGTCGGCGCCTTTGCCCTATTTGGATTCCAAAAAACGGGCATCTCTCGTCATCCTCGCTTATGTCTCACCAATCAGTGCCCTCTTCAACTTAACTTGGCAGTCTGGACCAGATAGATAGTCTGGACTGTGATTTTTCTTTCTCGCTTCTTTTGCTGTTTGCTTCATCTGCTCGCTCCTGCATTACAAAAACGAGTCTTTGGAATAGCGCACAACCGTATCGTAAACCCTTACACACCAACACACCATTCGTCAGTATTATGTCTAAATGCTCACGGTCGCAAGCGTCGTAACGTCTTATTGCCGCACACGTTTTGCTAGTCCGTCGTGCAATTGTTGGTCCGCCTTTGGATGCGAGCATTTTGTTCGGTATTTTCTCGACCTCGCATTCGGAGTATTGTCTACCCATTTTACTTTCCACGCTTTGTCCGGTCCCTAGTTTCCCACTCGCCAAAAAAACGTGTAAAGCCTTAGAAGGTGGCCCGAATGCTTTGATGTGTCTGAGGCTTCTCTGTCCTTTGGTTCTTCCGTAATCCCTGACAATCTATCCGCGTTCTCTCCGTCTTGAGTTTGGGTCTCGATTTGCGTGTCTCTCACTTTGCGTCGTTCTTTCCCTTCTCACGTTTTCTCACTTCCTGTATTTGTGCTTGCCCGTTTGCTCCTTCCGTCCTAATTCTCATCTTTCTATTCCTTCCTTTTTTATATACTCTTTCTTTCCTTCCTCTCATGTCGAAACTATAAAGATATCCAGATCCCCTTTCCTCCCCACCGGGTCAAATAGGGGCGAAACAACATAACAATCGAAAACTCTAACAACCAACACTCACCACCAACAACACATCAGCAACCACCTGACCTCGACATACCTCGACAACTACACCTCGACCACCTTGCTCATTGTCTTCCCCATTTCTTCTTGTGACACTCATTTCCCGATATAGTGTTCTGTACATCGCGTCTTAAGCTGAACTGACGCACTTCAGTAACACGACACAACAAAACAACATACGGATAACATGCGGAGTATATCCCTACACCAACCAATTCGTCGTACACACACAGGAGCACAGAAAATCAACACAATGGCGTCTACAGCCGACGTCATCAAGGCCGAACAGCCGGCCGACTCCGACGTCAACACGGCCGCCTCCACCCTACGCAGCGATGGCGACGCCAATGAGCCTGTCCGCTCTGCCGGCCAACCGCCGGCAGTTCCTACGACCGGCGCCAACGACACCACCGAGGGCGAGGGCAGCAGCAGCAACGACGAGCCTGTCGCCACCGGCGGCGGCACCGTCGAAATGGTCGGCGACAAGGCCGTTTTCAAGGCCACGCGGTCCTTCTATCTTGCCTTTTCGGCCCTGCTTGTCCTCACCGTTGCCGTCGCCCTGGACGCCACCACTCTCTCTGTCGCCCTGCCCACCATCAGTGCCGCCCTTGGTGGCAGCGCCCTCGAGGCCTTTTGGTCCGGCACCAGTTTCCTGCTGGCGAGCACCGTCCTGCAGCCGACCGTCGCCGCCCTCTCCAGCATCTTTGGCCGCAAGTACATGATCTACCTCATGGTCATCTTCTTTGCCGCCGGCTCCCTCATCGCCGCCCTCAGCAACAACTTCAGCGTCCTCATTGCCGGCCGTACCATCCAGGGTGTTGGTGGCGGTGGTCTGATTGCCCTCACGGAAGTTGTCGTCACCGACCTGATCCCCCTGGCCTTCCGTCCGACCTGGTTCTCCATCCTCAGTGCCATGTGGAGCATCGGCACTGTCACCGGCCCGCTCATCGGTGCCGGTTTCACCGAGAATGTCTCGTGGCGCTGGATCTTCTACATCAACCTGCCCCTGATCGGTCTGGGCCTGGGCTTTGTTGTGCTGTTTTTGCACCAGTCCAAGATCCCCGGTGGCATCATCCAGAAGCTCGGCCGCTTCGACTGGGTCGGCTCCATCTTGTTCACCGCCGGCACCACCTCGTTCTTGTACGGCCTGACCACCGGTGGCGTTACCAACCCCTGGAGCTCCTACAAAGTCCTGGTCGCGCTCATCATCGGGCCCTTTGTTGTCCTCCTCTTTGGCTTCTACGAGCTGCGGTGGGCCAAGGAGCCCATCATCAGCCGCCGCATCTTCAACAACCGCGACATGCTGCTGACCTACATCATGACCATCCTGCACGGCGCCATCCTGTGGTCTCTTCTCTACTTCCTGCCCCTCTACTACCAGGCTGTCAAGGGCTACAAGCCCATCGTGTCGGCCGTCGCCGTCCTGCCCGAGACTCTGACTGTTGCTCCTGCTGCTGCTGCCGTCGGAGTCATTGCTGGCATCACCGGCCACTACCGCTGGTCCCTGTGGGTTGGCTGGTTCCTGACCACGCTCGGTAGCGGTCTGCTGCTGCTGCTCGCCCCCGATACGCCCATTGCAGCCTGGATCTGGCTCAACGTGCCCGTCGGAATCGGCAGCGGTATGCTCTTCCCGGCCATGGGCCTCTGCATCCAGGCCGCCGTCGAGCCCGAGCTCAACGCGCAGGCCACTGCTTTCTTCTCGTTCCTGCGTACTCTGGGTCAGTCGATTGGTGTCGCCATCAGCGGTGTCATTTTCCAAAACTCCTTCAAAAAGAAGCTGTTGGCCCTGCCTGCCTTCTCCGCCGTCGCCGGCGACTACTCGCGCGACGCCACGTCTGTCGTCAGCATCATCAACGCCATGACCCCGAGCCCCGAGCGGACCGATCTCATCCAGGCCTACAGCGACTCTCTGCGCGTCATCTACATTTCACTCGTCGCCTTCTCTGGCTTCTGTTTCATTCTGGCGCTCGTCATCCGCGGCTACTCGCTGAACCAAGAGCACATCACCAACCAGGGCCTGGTTGACAAGGCCAAGGAGAAGAACGATGCCACGGCCGAGAAGCTGGTTGAGCCGTGAGAAAGAGACCACGGCGAACAATAACCTCGTCACACACCCCTTTTCATCCTTTTCTTTTGTTGTTTTGATCATGTCGTCCCTCTTAATACTTTGCATAGACCTGTCACCCATTTCATCAGTCAGCAATAGCGATCTCATTTTGTTTTATCTGTCAGTCTTTTGTTTTTCAGCGTTTGGTACCTCTCCTAATCTATGTCGGGATTTTTTTTGTTCTTGCGGGTTTTTTCTCGGTGGATATATAGAATAGGATCAACGGTGGGTAGGGCTCTCGCTGGTTGCTGGGATTTGAGATTTCTGTTTTGGATACACCTTGTCGTTGATGCCAGACAGAAAAGATTATAATGAACCATTTAATAGAAGTTTCAAAAATAAGAAACTAATGAGATATTCTAAGCAAAGCAGTTCCATTGCCTTGGAGAGAAGGAGAGATAATGAGAATATAACAAGACCAGGCTCGTGGGACTCTTGTTCCATTTGAATTAGAAGCCTTTTCTCTGTAAGGATCCTACTACTAAAGTTGTTCAGCCTCAGAAGACGCAACGTTTCATCACGGTCTGTCATTGCCCTAGAAGACGTATGGCAAACACACTTCCCACTCGACAAACAAGGCAAATCCAACCGACTGGTAACATTCAGTCTCGTCTCTGTCTCTGTCTAGATGATAAGAGAAGACCAGAAATAAAACAAAATAGAGGCACACCCTTATCTCAGACCCCGACTTGCTGGAACCATGTCTCTAGGTTGACGAAACGTACAAATCCACTTCAGCCTCATTCATTGCTTTGATGCCACGGGCGAGCCACAGGTGTGACAAAACAAATAGACAAAAACAGCCCGTGCTACGAGCACACTGATTCGGACATACAATCCTTGACTGTGTGCGATGTTCAAAGGAAAATTTCAAAACAATGAAAATATTGCAACTACGAGAGTCATATCAAGAAACAAGAAACAAGACACAAGACACAAGACACAAGACCAGTACAAAAGTAAAGCAAATAAAAAAGTAAAAGTTAAAAATAAAAATAAAAAAGAAGAAAATAAACTGGCCATGTTTCCCCCTTTAGTCGTCCGATTTCGCAAAGTATGTTCTATTGCTTGCTCTTGGTTTCTAGCCAAGCACAAGCAGGACTGGTTGCGAGGAAGGTCGTGTCGGAGGGAGTCAACGACAAAAAAATGAGCAATAAAGGGGTCATTACAAAAAGAGACAAAATTAAACTGCCGGGTCGTGCAAAAATCAAAAGACTGGCGAAGCTTATTGTCACCCGGGGGTGGGGTGGCGCAAAGCCAAATTTGCCTGAAAAGAAAAACCGGAGACTAGGCATCGCCTGGCAATATATTTGTACACCCTCTTTTTGAGGGACGCATCTTGTCATATAAAATTGCTTGTTTCCGGGTTCTTTCCAAATGAAAGGGGCCAGGCCACGGGGAACAGAAAAACAGAGGGCAGAGAAACATGGAGGGCCCGTTGGCCTTGAACAGTGGCCTCTTCAAACATGGTTGTGCCCTCTCTTGTTTGTGAATTTGGCCGAGCGGCTATGCTTTCCTTGCCTTTCGCTTTTTTTAGAGAGTTTAAATCCCGAGACTCCTGCGTGCTCCTACTCCTTCACATTCCTCTGGTCTTGTCTCACTGCACGCACACGGACTTTGCTTTTGTTGATGTCCGGCTGAATGGATGACTGGGCCCGGTAAAAGGCACGCCTTGCCTCAATATCACTCCCCCATGGCACGGCAGTACGCGAATAAATGGAAGCGACAGGATCTGGAGTAATAATAAGAGCAGCAATTAATATAGCATTGCCCACAATACTCTGTCTCTTTACCGTGAGGTGCTCCGGCTTGTATGGGGGAGAAACAATGGCAGAAATTTGACCAGCGCCATCACCGAGGAATAATCTGACGTGATTTTGTTCCCTCTAAATACAAATTATAAATAAAACTAGGAGTCTTCGGTCATATTTCCGCAGTCGGGCAATTGTATCATGTCCGCCATTGTAATAGCGCACACCGACTTGAGAAACTCGATCTTAAGACGCTTACAAGAATAAACAAACATTAGCCAATATCATCGCAGAGGAGCCACGTGGACTCGAACCCATCAATCCTCCTCCATTACATTTGCTGCCGTCTACGGCAGGCAAAATACGTAAAAGCAACTCAAACGAGAATACGAGCCACCAACCAGAGCATAGAAACGTGCCTTTGCGTTCTCCAGACCCTATGTGCATATGCCTCGTAGCGACGCTCGGTTTACGGAAGAAAAGAAAACGAAATAAACAGAAAAGAAATGAGGGGAAGCATTTCACGTGGAGAAGAAAACTGGGGAAACGGCAAGACAAAAGGCTCAAAGGAGGCAGGTAAAGGAAAAACGCAAAACTGGGAGACAAAATTTCCGCGGGCGAGGCGTGGGCAAGTGTGCCGAGGTGCTGTGGAGTGACTCTCAAGCAGGACTGGACAAGTACGGATCGGTAGACTTCTAGAAACACGGCAAAAGTGTTGCAAGCATATACCGTCTGGTGCACTGGACAGGTTCAACGTTAGAACACACAAACAACACGCCCCTGTCGGCGGGAAATCGGCCAACAGGCACTGGAAACCCTCTCCCGCGTACTTGTGCGGCCTCGGATCACCAACGAGTGTACTCTTTGCCGGTTAGAAAAAAAAAAAAAAAAACACGCCCCCGATTCGGGGAAATGTCGCTAAACAAGAGAGGCATCTTCGTAATCCCGGGGTTCAAGAATCATCATGCGAGCTGGCATGCCTTGCATGCATTTAAATGGAAGGGATGTAAGTATGGCTCTTTGGATCCGGGAATGGACGGTTTGAGATTCGTGAGATTTGTGAGGTGGTGATGTGTTAATGTAAGTGAGTGCACATGGTCAGTGACGAGAGGAGCAATAGACATGTAACCTTTCGGAATGTTGTGATAATTGGGCATAATGAACATATAAGTGAACACCCACATAAAAATCTGCCGACGAAAGCCAAGAATTTCCAATAAATGTGTTTGTAAGAGAAAGCTGTGACAAAGCTGCAACAAGCAACGGGACTTTGTTTCTGTAGATCGCCAAGACTACGGGGTAGCGGCTTTTGCCAGTTCTTGGAGTCTTGGCTTGTAAACGCTTATATTTTGCTTAAAGTGAACGATGACGAAAGCCCCTTAAGAGACGTAGAAAAAGTCGCACATGGGGATGGATCTGTTAACGCCATGGAGTTTTGCCGGCAGACAGTATAGAAAACACTGCCAGGGTTGATTTCCAATCGACAAAAACGAGACAAGAAAGCTTATTTGGGGAAGTGCTTGAACAAAGAAGCCTTTCTGGTCCATTGTTTTCTTAGAAATTGAGCAGATAAAATGTTGGTGTAAATTAAACGTTTGATGCAAGATCTTCAGAAAGTCTATTGAGGTGATTTTCAATATATATTCCTCTTTATTGGCTGTCCCACGCACTGCATAAAACAACCCATCACATCATTGCAGATGGCACTCGTCTCGGTGCCGGAGCCGAATCCGACTTGGCGTGTGACGAGGTAGGCTGCAACACAGCGGAACATTGTCTCCCACTTCTTGCATACGGGGTACTTGTATGGCTATTGCGATTGTCGTTCTTTATTTCGAGCACGTGGAAAATATTGTGAGGAATATTGTTAAGCACAAAGGCGGAAGATGGAGCCGCCCCCATTATTCCTCTCAGATGTACCGCTCAAAGTGCAATATAAAACCGAAACCGAAAGCAGGTACGCGCGTCCCTACTGTATGTGGTCTGGACTTGTACGTCTTTTCGACCAAAGTCTGGGTCACAAAACATCTAGACCATATTCAAAACTGTCGTTGATTGCGGTTGATCGGAACGAAAACAGACAAGAAAGGGGAATAGATGAAAGCCCGGATCGAGTAGCAGTTGCGAGATGGAATGTAAAACAAATATCCCTGGAAAATCGCTGATGGGCAAGAGCAAATCGTGTCGAGCAAGGGCCATGAACAGCGCGCCACACACAGTCAAGTCAGCCACACACACGGCGGCACATGTTATATCTTTGCCAGCTCCTCGTTGGTCCAGTCCCACAGCTTTTCGGCCAGTTTCGGGTCCTGTGCCACCTTGTCAAGATTCCCGTTGCTCATCTTGCCAACCGGGTAGTACACGGCGCCGTTGACAAGCTCGCTTTTCTTGGCTGCCGCGGCCGCCCACACCTGATTGTAGCAGCCCTCCTCAGGGCGAACGATAGGATCGCCGAGGATGCTGTTGGCAATGTAGACAAATTTCTTGCGTGGATAAGGGAGCTCCGTGACAAGAGTCGTCTCGACCACGCCCGGATGAATCGACACGGCGGTGATGTTGGGATGGCGTTTGGCGAGCTCACGGGCGTAAACAATATTGGCAAGCTTCCCTTGTCTGTGTTCTGTTAGAAGACAAAACGGGATCTCAACCGAAAATATATATATAAAAAGGGTAAATATAAGAGAACGTACCCATATCGAACCCACGATCCCATAATGCTGTCCATGGTCGTGCGCACCTGGTTAAAGTCTACGCCGGCTTTTGGGTGTGCCCGCCAGCCCGTTGATGTCAGACAGACGACGCGCACGTCGGACCCTGGCTCGTCCGCGGTTTTCTTGAGAACAGGCAGCAGGCCCTGTATGATAGCCCCGTGCGCCATGTGGTTAACACCAAACTGCAGCTCGTAACCGTCCTTGGTCAAGGACGGCGGCTTGGCCATAATACCAGCATTGCACATCAGGATGTCAAGGCGGCCGTGGGAAAAGCGCTGGACAGCGGCCTTGACGGTAGAAAGCGAAGCCATGTCAAGCTCGAGGAAGGTCGAGAGAACACCGGAGGGCGCGAGAGCGGCAGCGAGTGAGGCAGCAGCCTTGGTGTCGCGGCCGGTAAAGTAGATGTGGGCAGGCGAGTGCTTGGCAAACGCCAGGATAGACTCACGGCCCAAGCCGTTGGTGCCTATGAAGAGAGATGTGTCAGTCATTATTGAAGCTGCTTGCACGTCTGACGCTTTACTCCTACCTCCTGTGACGAAAATGACTTTGCCAGCTAACGACGGAATGTCATTCTCTGGGTTGAAGTTGGTGACGCCAGCCATCGTGAAGTGGATGTGAGGATATGTTGTGGGAGGAGGTTCTGAAAACGGTAGAAAATAGAGAAAATAAAATTAAGAAAGAAAAAAAAAACTTGGAGCACGCGGCAAATTCCTTTGAGAGCCGAGGCAAGGGCAATACTGCTCCTTCCTCGTCTTTATAGATTTTTGTCACTCCGAACGTACTTGCCCTTCTCATCTGTCAATGTCTTGATGTTTTGGCCGGTAGCCACGATCCATGCATCTCTTGCACGCCATTGGCTGCATATGTCTCCGAAAACATGCTAAACCTAAAAGGCCACTAGCGCGTAAGCACATCTGTGTCGTTCAGGAACGAAGCCAGGAAGGCTTGCAGGCCTCGTGCTAGCAGGGATCAAATGGCAGGCACGACCCCAGGGCGACGATTGCCCCTTTGGGGCATAGCCCATAAGCAGCTGGACATCGCGAAGGAGAACATAAGTCGTCGTCGGCAACCTGCTTCTTCAACCTGCACCATATCGACTGCATTTCCAATCCGTCTCTTTCTATTGCAGTGGACACGGTATCTTGACGCTCACATCCAAATCAACCTCAGTGACCGTGGCAACGTCGGCATACATGTCTGAAGTGAGTCTCTCTAACGGACGAATTGATGGGCCGGCTTGACTTATAATGACTGACGCGGAGAGCCGCAGAGCCTGGGAGAGGGGAAGTCACACGAAGATGGAGAGGCTGATATATGGAAGGGGCTGTCCGACAAGGCCGAGCGGAGGAAACGGCAGAACCGATTGCACCAGCGGGCATGGCGACGCCGCAAGACTCTGGAGGCATCCGAGGCGGCTCTGGCAGCATCAAATGAGGTATGCGGCTGAAGATCAAGCCACACTGTGCTATAACCGTCCACATTTCCAGAGGCTAATAGATCATACAGGGGAAGGCGTCGTCCGGCTTTTGGGTCCTCAAACCTGTAGTCCAAACCCATTCAGAGCAGGAACAGCAATTGCAGCTCTACAAAGAGGGAGTGCAGCAACCGGCGGCATACTTTGTGTTGACGCCTCGGCCAACTGTATCGTCTTCGCCCTCGGGCTCGTCGTCACCGCCCAGCTATTTGTCTGGCCGTGTGAAGCTTATACCTCCGCTCCTGCAGTATGTGTCGAACGGCAGCTCAGCGACCGGATCAAATTCCTCCATGTCGTCTCCTGTCAGCCTCCAGCCAAACCCGAACCTCCACATGTTCATCCTCCCTGCCGCCTTTGTCCACTTCCCACTCTCGCTCGACCACCGCCTCCTCACCCTTATCCAGTACAATGTCCTCCGCGCCACACTCACCAACATGGCCATCCTCGCCATCCTGCACTCCGCCATGGACGCCGACTGTGGTCTCGACCAGATACTTGACCACATCCACCCCCCGCTGCCCGCCCCGGCCACCTCACCAGACGATCTCCCGGTTTCTCTTCGGCCCACACCGCTTCAGCGCCGCATCTTCCATGACCAAGAACCGCGACGGCCAGACATGCTGTGGATCAGCAGCGTACCTTCGCCCGCCATGCGTGATAATCTGCTACGGACATACGGCCAGTGGGATCCAGACGACTTGTGCTGTGATCTGCTCGGCGGACTCTACGAGGGATTTGATGACGTCGAGCGCCGTGGCATCATAGTATGGTCGGATCCCTGGCTGCCTGATAGTTGGGAGGTGACGCCCGGGTTTGCGAAGAAGTGGCCGTTCTTGTTGACGGGATGTGATGAACTGATGGCAGCAACCGACCGGTGGCGGGCAGGGCGCGGAGAGGAGCCGCTGGCGATTGACTGGGGGAAGGAGTGAAGGCACGCGCGGGCAAGGCGTCAGGTATTGATTTACGTAAGGCATTTTATTTATCCCCATACCGGTCGTTCGTGTGGTTGTACTTTGGGCACAGTTTTTTTTGGTTACAGGATCTTTGGATCGGGTGGGTTCCTGGGTAAAGGTACGGAGTAATTGCACACAAGTACATTATGACTTTGACGGCATTACGTGGCACGGCAGTGTCCTCCCCTTACTTCCGTTTGTATCGTTATCCTTCTTAGAGCCAGTGCCAGGGAACGAGTGGCGCACAAGGTAGTGGGCATATGCATAGCACTGAAAATAGGTCACCGCTCCCGTTGCACAGAAGGCACCTAAGGGGACCTGCTGCATGGTCAATCCGATTATATTTTCCTCGTATGCTGCTGTGGATCCGACTGGGAACTCGTGTGGACGGGCCTCCATTTGTCCTCTTTATTTGCTGTCGTTCGATCGACCCAGCTCGACCCCTGACCTAGCACGTCGAATGCAGGCAGGCAACAGGCAGGAAACAAGTAGCATGCCTAGAGCCCCTTCTCTTCCTTCTGCCCTGCTACCAATACGAACGTGTCACTGCCGCAGGTCTCGTCGGCCAACGCGGGCCTGGTTCTGCCAGTTCTTGACAGATCTCTTACAAATATACAACGACTGAGGAAGCTGTGCCTCTTCCTTTCCGTTGATGACATACAACTCTGCTTATGTTCCTCTCGGCTCTTCACCGGACTGGATCATCCGGGTCAGCATCTTACCACCATTGACAGTACACGTCTTGCTCCGGGTGCCGGTGGCTGCTTAAATAAGAGATGAAAAGGAGTGGTATACACCCAGACACGATCATAAGGCCCAAAGAATAATACGGTACAATAGAGAGACATATGTTCAACGCAGAGCAACACATAGGTAACCTCGTAAAGCAAATGATATGGTAAAAGGGCAATGTTTAATGAAGGAAGAGTCGCTGAGCACATCTTCTCATTTCGGCCATTTCGGCTCCTCCTCTCTATTCTTCCCGTGTCGTCTTCCCCGTAGCTGCTCCCAGGTTGGCTGTTTGTGGCCGTTGCTCCGCTGCCAAGGAGGGTTATGTATGAAGGAGTGTTTTGTCGATTTGTGCCAGACGTTGGTCATTTGGGTTGGGGAAATCCCGGCGGGTTGCCTGAAACGAAAAAAAATCTGGGCCTGCCCAGGTCGTTCCCCCATGCACGCTGCATGTAGCGGTGCACCTGCGCTTTGCAAAGAGCTAAAGATATAGCAGAACAGGGTTTTTCCAAACAGCAAGATCATCGCTTTTGTCTCTCTTTTTTTTTCTCGCTCGAGCCTTTGGACCGGTTTCGTCGACAGTCCGGTGTCTTTTCGGTTGATCGTCCCGCCACGCCCAACTCTTGTCCGCCCATGCCTCTCTGTCACGACTGGATCGGCCGTGCGGCGTAGTCAAAGGATCAGGAGCCACGTTGAGGCGTGACGCACATTGCCTGTAAGTAGGTTGCGCAAATGGTAGCTCCCAACCTGTGTCTTGTGCGGTCTTGATGGAGGGTCGCATTTACCACCGGAACGGAGCATCAAACTGGCTGACCCATGGCAAGTACAGGCTCGAATCAATGAGCTTAATTCGACGTCGGATGGTGAGCTGAGTGTAGTGCCTTTGTTGTGAGATGAAGCCTGTTCGGGAGACTGTCGGAAAAGCCCTCTTTTTCTCAACATGGTGATTGATGTTTGGTTCAAGGTTTCATACTGTTCCTCATTTTTTCACCAACTAGTGAGTCTCGATTTAGGATGCATTGCAGTTTGAAAAAAAAAAAAAAGGGATGCAATATGAGGCTGTTTTCTGAGCAATTACGGGGCGTGTTTTTTCCCCGGCCTTTTTGCTATGACTATGCTATGCGAGTCCGTCTTGCTTCCATCACGATCCATGCGGACGGGGTTCATATCTTGCCAGTCGCACAGAAATATCGGCAGAAGAAAACAGGGGTATGGCGCAGAGCGCGTGGCGTCGAAAGGTGTCGTGGATGTCGTGGTTGAGTGGCGATGGTCGCCGCAGGTGCCACAAGCAGGCGAGGAAAGGAGAAAAGCAATTGCTCCTTCCGTCGCGGCCTGGAAAAAAAAAGCCGCCATATGCCTCTCTCCATAACACGAAATAAAGTCAAGATGATGCAAATCGCCGCGCCCGGCTCCGTTGTATAAAGGCCAGTCCATGTGCTGCAGCCATTGGTCCACAGCCGGCTGAGGCTGATGCTTGCATACCTTTCGTTTTCGGGCTTCCGTCTTCATGATCTGCTTGTCAAATGCACCTTCGCTCCCTTGTTTTGTTCTTGCCTTTTTGGGCCTTTATCAGAGCACGGGGCATTTTGCGTGTGTGTGGCCGTTTGCACCTTCCTTGCACTATGGCCGCGCTCTTGCCCTTTCTGATACCCGTTCGTGCCTTCTCCTTCCGTATCAGCTGCTTCCTTCCTCTTCTCCCATTTCTTACGCCATTCTCGCCAAACCGCCCCGTGGCCGTGTTTTTAGGCTTCATGTTGACCATTTTGTTTTTCGACCGCTTGTCCATGCCCCTTTATTTTGTCCTCCCGTAACCTCCACGCCCATGCGCATGCCGTCAGCCACCTTTTCTTGACAAGGGGGCCAGCTCTATCTATTTTCATTTTGATCTCGTCATATGCAGCACATTGCGTTACCTCTGCAGGTCGTACACGCACACATCACGCATGTCTGCTCCTATTTTTTTTTTAATTGATTGCTTCTTTATTTTATTTTCCACGAAGCTGCGCATCCTCCCACCGTGTCCTCCCAGCGCTTCCTTCGTCCGCTCTTTTGCGCCTTTCTCTTCTACCGGATATCCAGGTACGCGCGGCGCCCAGTCTCGTTCACTTTACACGTCCACTCTATTTCTTCCTTTTTTCTTTTCTATTCCTACCCACACCACACATTTACTCTCCTCGCCTCTCGGTTGGCCCCCTTTCGACCTTTACTTACTACGCCATCATCTTTCTTCCCGCTTGCTGGACCGCACAGCCGCTCGACCTTCTTTCTATTTTGATTCATTCGTTCTCGTCCAGCAGCTCGCCAACCGCCACCTTCTCGATCTCGGTCTCTCGTTTTCGGCCATATTCCCTGCTCACGATCTCCTTGCCTTCCTCTCGTCGTGTTTCTCACGCCCTTCTTACCAAATTCTTTGCCTGTCACATCGTCTTCCTTCCCCACGCCTCACCATCGCCACGCTCGCTTCGATTTCATTCTCCCACAAGGCCTGCCTTTGTCGCCGTTCCTTATTAATTCTCGCCCGTCGTTTGCCCGGCCTCGATTCTTCGATTTCTCCCGGGCCCACATTGATTCATCAGACCGGCCAATCCTCCACACTCGCTGACACCTTTCTCTCTCCTACTCTTTCCCTTTCCTGCGACACCTCCGGCCTTGTCTCCGTCGTCACATCGTCCCTGGATTCCACGATGCACTGAGAGTCACGATTTCGGCATCCGTCACTCACCCCCCTCGCCTTGATCCTCGTCTCTTTTTGGTGTCTGTACTTTACAGGATTGCTGTCAGTGTCGACTGCTTGTTAATATTTAATAACTCAAAAGCTCACGTCCCTGGCATTGCCTCTCGCTCCACACCAACCCTCGACAAACGAAGCCTTAATATCGCCCTGCCTACGTGCTTTCTTCCACACTTGACGACTGCGAGTCTTCTCCGATAGTCCGGAGAATCACAGAACGCAACAAACGAGAGAATTCCAAGACAAGAACCAAAGTGGTAGCAGACCGCAGAAGCTGGACTGCGTCGTTGGTAGTTTGTCTCGTAACCGGCTCCTTGTTTTACGTCCCAGCAATACGCAGGTTTTTTCGTCTTCGTCATATCCTTTTGTGATCTCTCGCCGTTCTTTGGATCTCAACCTTTCAGCTAGTTGATAAATCATTCTACCAACAAACAGAAGCAGTTCACGAACAAGGAAGAAACGTACCAAGTTCGACAACCCGGCAATACTTTGCTCTCTTCTTTTCACGCCCCTCCATCGTTCTCGCCGGTTGACGATCAACGCCAGCCAGCAGTACCGAGCTGCTGCCTTTATTTCTCGACCGCCATCCAGTCTCATTCTATTTTTCCCCTACCCGCCGACACCCATTTTGTTTCCACACTCTCACGTCTGCACTTTACGTGTTGCTTTTTTTATTCTCATCTTCCTTGGCCGTCCAATCCCATGGCATCGTCCGCTGCTTCAAACCCTGTTTGAGTTTTTCTCGCGCCTAAATTCAAACTCCATACTCGCTTTTTCTTTTCAGTTTCCTTACGACGCACACGCCCCCCCTCTTCCCCTTCTATTTCTTAATATCTGCCCGCCGTTTCTACCTTCTACCGCATTTCGCCAAGCGTGCCCAAAAAGCCAACCAAAAAAAGCAGCCCACTCCACCTCTGTCGAAACTATACCCCATACCGCTGCCCGTCACGACCGAACGCGCAGAACATCCGCTCGTTCTTTTCATCATTTTGTTTTATTTCTCTTCATACTTGATACTCACGGCTACTCGTTCAAACTCGCACGTACCGTCTATGCCACGCGTGTCCACGTAACTGGCTCCCGTGTCTGGGATCCGTGGTCTCCGCCTTTTAATCCTCTTTATACTCTTTTTTGGTGTTGTTGTCCCGCCTACCTTTCGCCGCCGTTCTTTCCTTGTATTCACTCCCGAGTTCTTATTTATTCTATTTTCCCCATTCCTTCTTCACGTTCTTGGGAAAGGACAGTGAACTGGGCTGAGCTCACGAACTTTCACTTGTTTTTGCCATCATGGCAGCTACACGCATCGACGGGCATAAGCCTCTTCCAAGATCGGAGAGCTTGCAAAAAATGCTTGATCTGGAAAAGCAATACAAGGTAAAACAACCCCATCTCCTCTTCAGCTTTGACCTGTGTTTTGCCTTCTCGGAGATTTCAGTTTTCTACACTTCTTTGCATTTTGCCATTTTTTTGTGTGCCCATATCCCCGTCTTCTGTATCCTGCTTTTCCCCGCCCCCT